TTAGGTAAAGATTTTTTTAAAAGAAACTAAGTCAGTTCCTGAAGAGCTTATGAGATGTTCTAGGCAACGAGCCAGCAGACGCAGAGGAACAGATTGTTCTTACCTGCTTGATGCTCTTGCGTTGGGAAAGTTTGGGTCATGCGTGTGGTGTGCTAGGCTTATTATCTGTGCCCGATCGCTTTGTGCTGGGGGCAGGCGTTCAGATCCAAGGACTGCAGTTTTAAGATTCCTTTTATGAAAACGGCCAGTGTTCCCGGGATCCTCTGATGCAGTCTCCCTTTGAGTAGCTCCTGTGTTCTGTAGGAAGCAGGAGAGAGGGTGCGAGTCAGAGGAGACTTTTGCACCAGTAGATGGCACAGGCAGCAAGCGCTTGGGAGTAAAGCGTGCATAAATGATAAAAACTTGGTGCATTTATTGTAACATGCGGGGTTTTCAGTTATTGTGCCAAAATGAAACCTAGAAATGGTTTGATGAAAGCTTCCTCTAGGTGGTGTTTAGTGTCTTTGCATAGATTTTATCTGTAGTAAGGAACACTTTTCTAATATAACTGTAACCTGTGTAAAAACCCTCTTAAATATCTGGGTAAGACTGTGCTTCAAACGCAGGGGTGGTAACTGGAGGGGTAACATTACCAGGACACAAATGCAAACTTATTAACTGTAGCAGCTTCTGTTTACAGGTGTGTTTACTGAAAAAGCAACCAGTGCGCGCAGGATGATCAGCAGTATCTGTGCCCTTGCTTATTGACAAGCTATCTTCATGCTAGCTTGCACAGTATTTTTCTGCCACAGTATATTTAGGTATAAGTTTTAACTACCTTTATGAATGTTAAGCTGACAATCCAGTCAGCTTGGATGGATCCAGCAATCCAGTGCTTTGGATGATTCATTTTTCCAGGATTACAAGTGAGGTTTTTTTCAAGTATAAGTGCTCTAATCGAAGACAAAACTCACCATTAAGAGCAAACTTGAACTTGAGACTTGGAGGAGATGCCGTTGACCTTTGCAGAAGCCTGATGGCTTTCCATCTGAGTGTGACTGGTAAGGCATGGGCTGCTGCTGGTGGGGTGTGTGCGAGACAGACGCTTCCATTAGAGTAGGTGTTAGTCTACACTAGAACCGCAGAGTTTTTTCCAGCCTGACTTTGTAAAAATTCATAGGCATAAAACTGTTATCTGCATATATAAATGCCTTGAGATGAAGATCCAGGTAAGAAAAAACGGGGACAGCGTTGAGACCTTTGAAAGGCATACTGAGGCCTCATCCTGCTGTGAAACAGAGCTTTAGCACCTCAGGCTTGATAAACTGGTTGTCTAGAAGTGAGACATTATGCACCACAAGCTCAACTCTACGCTATGGACTGTTGCAGCACAGCTGTGCTTAGTGTGATAGTGAAAAACTCTCACCTCACACCCACAGGAAAAGTCACAGTGTATGTGCAGATGCCTGGAGGATGAAGAGCCTGCTAGGACTTCAGCAAGACTGGGCTTCCTTTGGTGGATGTCGTTAGTTCTTGGCAGCACAGGGAAAGCTACTGAAAATTCAGACGTGCTCAGAGTATACGGTGAGTGATGGCAGAAATATCGGAGTGCTGAAATCGAGTATATGGTGAGTGGTGGCAGAAATATGACCACTGAAATCGGCTCTGAATTTCTCAGAGAAATCCTGGTTTACATTTTTAAATCATCCTCCTGTGTCTGGGATTCATTCTTCCCCAACTGCTTGCAGCAGGGTGGGCTGAATGGGACAAGGCCCCTTGTTAATGATCCAGCAGCTGCCAGCTTTAGATTTTGCAGGTTGATGCTTTTGTTGCTTTTGTTTCTTGGTCTTCTCTGAAGTACTCAGGAAGGCTAGAAAGAAAGCAAACATTACAATGTTGAATAAAGACAGCCTCTTCCACCCCGTTGCTTCCCCATCTGTTGTTCGTGTTCTCCTAACATGTCCCAAACAAACAAACAAAAAAAAATCCTAGAATGGAAGAGAACCTTTGTAGGGCCAGATAAATGTGCTTCGGGCCATGAAGGCTCTACGGTGGGATGGTAGCTAGCCACGTGACTGAATTACCACTCCGGGAGGACCACACTTGAGGTCAGGCTCGGAAGGATTAAAGCTGCTTTGACTGTCCTAATTTTAGGCCATGTGGGGGATGGCTTGGCTGCCAGTGATGGCACAGGGCCCAAATGCTGGCACTGATTGAAGCTTCGAGACTGCAACCAAAATAATTATAATATGTATAATTACAGTCACATTATTTCATTAAAATTATTTCTTCATTATGTGTGTATGTTTGTGATATTACCTAGGCAATATAAATGGGCGTATTTCCTGTCTTGAGAGTAATTAAAGACTCTCCACCTAGCACTTCACCTCCAAAGGAAATTATTTTTTACAGTTCAACTATTTTGTTTACTTAAATGGTTTTTCTTTTTTTTTTATACTGTGACACGTTGGAGTCCCATGTGAACAAATACGAAAGTGAATTTATGGTCTTAAAAGTCATGGTGACGGTGGATGTAGACGTTGTGTGTCTGTTAAGAAGCGTTCAGGTTCTCGTGAGCTGTTCCATTTTAGGCCTTGTTGATGCTCAAGGCTGTTCTGGGTTAAGCCCGTGTGTGGACACCTGATTTTGGGAATAAGGAACTTCCTTCCCACAAACCTAATCCCTTGTTGGAGTGCAACCAGGTGCTTTTATTCTGGAGTGAGAGCACCTGCATGTGGGATTCATCAGGAATAGACCCATGGATATAGACAAACCTACAGTTTCCTGTTGATGATCAGAAATCCCTTGGTAGGGAGGGGTTGCGTAGGGGTCTTTAGTTTTGTGGGGTGGTGATACCAGTGGTAGTGGTGCGCTGTGACTTGACAGTAATTCAGTGCTTTGGTTTCCCAGCACTTGGTGGTTGTAGCTTGGTTGTCTCACATTCTTAGCCCCTTTCGGTAGAGAATCCTTAATGCGTAGAAAAATAAAGAGGGGTGTAGAAGCCACTTTTCAGGCTGCTGTACCCTTACTGCTCAGGGTGAAGTTGGAAGCAGCTATGGCTTTGCCTTCTCAACTCATGTTTATTTTTTCGGGGGTGGGGGTGGAAAAAAGAGGAGGAGGGTGGTATCAGACCTTTCACACAGAATAAATGATAGCACATCCCCGGTTGTGAGCTGAGCTATGGCTGCTGGCTTTTCACTTAGGGTTCTAGTCTGAAAAGAAATGAAAGCATTTCTGCTTATCTTGTACATCGGTGCTGCAGCGTAAGCCGCTTTCCTTGATGTCGGAGCTCGTTCTGCTCTTGTCAAAGCTTCAGAGCTAACTGCTCTTGACGATTCACCAACCACCGCTGAATGGGGTGGATGTCTGGATGGCTGAGAAGCCGCAGCCACCGCCTCTGCCTGCCTGAAAGCCTCTTCTCTGGTAAAGGGCTGCTTGGGTGGAGGTGGCTGGGGAGTGGGAGGGTATGGACCGAGGGGAGCTTGCACCCAGAGCTGCTGACTGCTGGTGGATTTCTGAGGCCCTATTTCCACCGTAGATTAAGACCCTTGATTTTCAATGGGGAAATGACTCATGACTATCTGGAGGGCAGACAAAGTTTCTGGCTGAGTGCCCTGAGCATCAAACATGAGCTCCAGATCTCAACAACTTTTGTATTTCTTCTATGTATATCCTATTTGTGCATGTACTGGATACCTGCAGTATCTATTTGCAGACTCACAATATTTGTTGGGTTTTTTTAATGGAGCTAATGATTTCTCTCTAAAAAACTCTTCTCTTCTGCTTTCTTGGCATCATTTGATTTTTTTTTCCTCTTCTGTTTTCATTTATATTTAAAAAAAAAAAAAAAAAAAAAACAAAAAACCCCACCACAAAACAACTAACCTTTGAGCAGATGGTGTTGTGCTCCCCTATCTCTTATTTCTACCAAGGGCTACTTAACTTTTTTTTGATGTAAACTGAGGCAAATTTGCCCTCATGAGGCCCTTACAAGTGCTAACCACCAACCCCTGCGGGCTGGGCACCTCTCTGTGGAAGCCCACGGGTGTTTTGGCCTAGCGTTGGTCTTAGACCTGCCCTTGAGCCAGCATGGGAACACCTTCCAGCTGCCAAATGTGCCTCAGAGTAAGGTTTGGAAGCGCACGGATGTGCTGTAGTGCAATGGACATCTGAGGGCAGAACCCATCAGGAACAAAAGCGTCAGCGGGGCTTGAATCTGGGGTTTCTTCTGTGTGTAGCTCAGTGCTTGTGATGTCATATTCAACCCACTTATTTCTGTAGTTTACAGTCAGGTTTTTAATTTCTTTTCAACTTCTAAACATCTGACTGGTTGGTGTCAAGTTGGCTTTAGTGTCGTGCTGACATGGTGGGTGCGGGCAGTGCTGCCGGCGGGGGGGGCAGATCCATCTTCAAAGGGATTTCGATTCCCAGAAACAATCTTCCCTTATAGCTGAACTTGTGGGTTTTGACCAGTCACCAAACTAAGAGCTCTGGGGTAGTGGGGAGAAGACCTTAAAAACACGTGTTCTGCACTTGTTAAGTGACTGCAAAGGGACCCGCGGGAAGCGAGGCAGTTGTTTGGGGCTGTATTGTATCCTGGCTCAACTTGGTTGTGGGAGATTTCCTGGAATTTGTAGCCCTGTCCTGCAGCCAGGGTGTCCCCTGGAGCAGCCCGTGGTTTTCTTTGAGTGCAGCAATGTAAGTGGGGGGCTGGGGGGTAAATACCTCCCTTGCTGCCCCGTAGAGGGAGCATGGGCATGACCCAAACCCCTGGCTGCTGTAGAAGATTCTGCCGAACGAGGCTGCAGCCAAAGAGCTTTTGAGCTCGATGCCACCAGGGTTTGATGTCCCATGGGAGTCACCTGGGATGGGTCAGTTGGGGGCAAACAAACCCAGAGGGAGAAACTTTGGGTGAAGGAACTTGCGGGAACCGCACCACGCTGGCGTGGGCAGCAGTGCTGCTGTTGTCTTTGGACTTGAGATGGTGCTGCTCTGGGTTTTGCAGACTGTTAACCAACGGGAACAGACTGGGATGTGGGGCTTTGATGGTTAGTGTTAATTCACTTAAATAAGAAACCTCTCATTAAACTAGAAACTCAAAGCCATATGAGTTTTAGCTTCTGTTTTACATAGGTCTCCTGGGAACTTTCTCTAGCTGCACAGACCTCTGTCTGACCACAAGGAGTTACCATTTCTTTAAATATCGACTGTGTCATGTAATAGTGGAGTTTGTGCGAGATAATGGCACTGAATCACAGGACTGATAAACGGGCTGACAGCGGATTAGAGAAACGAGTCAGCCGAGACCACAGTTTGGGTGGATTAAAAACTTCAGCGTAGAGTTTTTTCCCTTGGGACGCCTGGGAGGGCAAGCAGGGAGGCGAAGCCGGCCATGGGCTGCTTGGAGCCGGCCACTGGTGGCCGCACATTGTGGTTGGTAAAAGCCACAACTTTCACATAAGCTGGAGCTCCACCAAGATGTTCCCTTCTTTTTACATCATTGTTGAGCCCGCTGGGAAGATGGGTTGGCAGATGAGTTGAGAGATGTGTCAGTGCTCACAATACGTTATGGCAATTGGCTACGTCATTTCTGTTCATCCTACCTTTGTTGGCTGTTCTGGGGTTTTGTGTTTTGGTTTTGTTTTTTTTTTTTCTCTGAATTCTAGGTTCAGGGGGAAAAAAAGCAGGGGTGGAAGGAAACTTCAGCAGACAGGCATCAAAAATTATAGTCTTGATGATTGTAGCTCAGCCACTTGCTGACCATGAAGGTACCTGACCTCCGAGAGGCTTCATTTTTCCTCTCCTTTTAAACTTCATGTTGGCACCTCTGTGTATGCCCAGGACTGAGAGCAGGCTGTGGCTGGGATGAGGACTTTTTCTGAGGCCTAACTCATGCTGAAACAGGCTCCGGGGGCATCTGGGCCTGTTGCTGGACTGGCTTTCTTAGAGGGAGCCGTTGCTCAATCATCACCCACACTCAGACAGGATGGAGATCCCTTAAAATCGAGCGCTAACTGCCACCAAAAAAACTGCACCTCAGCCCTGCCAGCAGCTGGTGTTGTTTGTGGAGTGTATCCCGTGTTGGTTTGACGTAAGATACCGAAATAGAGCTGGAAGTGGGAACAAGCACCCAGGTCTTCCCCTTTGAGGAGACAGCACTAACCATCAAAAGTTGTGTTCCTGTCTGTTCCCCATACCCAGGACTGGCCTACTGGGCTGCGGTCTTTTTTCTTCCACTGCTTTGATGGAGGAGTGGAGATGGTCCTTGGTCCTCGTGCAGACTAGCCAGGGGCATGTTCCTAGCAAGGAGAAACAGGCATCCAAATCCCCTCTTAAATTAGGGAGGAATTTTAACCATTTTCCTTCCTTCTTAGGCAAGGACAGCACTTACAGGGAGGGTCGTTGACAGCCTTATCCCTTCCCTGTGTTTTAGAACCAGGGGACACTCCTCCCAGAGGGATTCGGGCGATGCTGAATTGTTAGAAACCCCAGTCCTATGTTAAACCTAGCCCTCAGTGTATGAGATGGATGCGCCTGACCCTGGACCAGGCACCTCCTCATGTTGCCTGAAGGTTGCTCCCTGAGGAAGAGGATGCTGACAATCCTGAAAGAAGATACAGCGATGCCCCAAAGCAGTCTCTGTTACAGCTGGATATTATTCCTAAATGCAGCATCGAGGTTTAGGAGCCCGCCGGGCAAACAAGCCATGCCGTCTCCTTGCAGCTACTGGAAGCACGATGAGGACGGACATTTCTATCACTTCTCTCCTCTGCCGGCCCCGGCTCTGGTGGAGCAGACCCTTGGACAAGGGTTGAGCCTTCAGGAGGCTGAACCAAAGTCACCTCGCGTCAGCTGATCTAATCCAAAAATATGTCTGTCCCTGTTTCCTCCTGGGAAGGTCAGTGTTTTCGTTAATGGAAATTAATGAGCCTGCTGGCGTCAGCGGGAGTCTTTGCATGGAGTTTTGGTCTTGGGAAATAAGGAACAATATAAAAAGTAAGAAATGGGTTTTGGGGGTAATTTCTCGGTATTGAGAGACTATGGATGAGCAGAAAACATGAAACACACACTGGAGGAAAGAACTGATGATAAGCAAAACAAAGATCCCTGTACCTCTGACTATTTCAACTGGGATGTCATGTTTTCACCCCGAGTTTCCCAAATACTCTCCTTTGTGGCATATTTTTCTTTCAATTTTCAGAAATTCATAGAGCCTTCCTCTTTATTTCAGCAGCGTTACCCGTGCAGTTAAATTCTGAAGTGCAAACCACTGCGTTAGAGAGGAGGGTGAGTGAAACCAGTTAATCCGACGGTAGTTGCTGGTCCCAACAAACTCACTACAGCGGTGAGTGGTGGTACCAAACCAGCCGTTGCAGATGTGTTCTGGTTTTTTTTTTTATTACTGTTATTTTATTCTTGATGGCTTTAAGTACAGGATCTTTTTCAAAATAGAACTTTTGACCTCTATGTGTTTCATAGATGATATTTGCACAGAGCTCAGCTTACCAGCCCCAATGCTGGAGCTCCTCTACCCTGGCTTAGCTGGCAGCGTGAGCCAGGCACTGTCCAGGCAGCTCCACCTTACCTGCTCTCTGTCAGCGTATTTGTCAAACCAGCTCTGACAAGATTTTTATCTAATATTTTCTTGGTTTTGTACTATTTCGGATTGACTCGTATCGGTCACTCGCTCTGGATTTGTCTTTTTTTTTTTTTTTAGTCACTGAGGTCTGAGGAGTGGTGTCCAGCAGCGCTGGCCCCTATGGCCAATGAGCTGGTTTTGTGATGCTGGGAACAAAAGTAATTTTTAGCCTCTAACAGCAAAGTGAAAAAGGAAGCAAACAGTGAAGTAAAAAGTGTGAAAGTTTGCTGCTGGTGCAGCCTTAACCGGAGCAAGAAAATCTAACGCCAGCTACCGAGAAACGGAGAGTCTCCTCAGGACATTGAGCAACCAGATGACAAAATGGCAAATAAAATCTAGTGCTGGTAAAAGAAAAGATGTGTAAGGGGGAGGAAAAACTCTGCTTAGATAAGAAGAGCTGCAAACCGGCTCTTTTCATGAAGAAGGGAGATCTTTTGAGTTAACGTGGGTAGCTCACAGGCAATGGCTGGGGATGGCAGAGGAGATGAAGAGGATGTTGAACGTGTGATGGTCTATGGCCGTGGAGGACCTGAGCTGCGGCCATCAGCCCTGCTCCCACCCAGGAGGTGGCTGGGGGTCCAGAGCGTGGGTGAGCCCTCCCTTCCACTGAGGCACGAGCCGTGCAGAGGAGGAGAAAAGGGAACTGGTCTCTCGTGGTGCAAGAGGAAGGAACACCGAAAGATGTTGTCAGGTGGCTGGCTCAAAGCAACAGCGATACGCTCCCGAGCAGTGTAGGTATAACTGAAACAGGGAATTCACTGCCACAGGAATCGGTGGGGGCAGATGGATGTTGGTCAAGCAGCTTGGAAAAAAGCTTTTCATGGCTCTGGAGAACGATGGTTTCAGTGCAGCTGCAGGAAGCCCCACAACCGGTGGTTGAGGACGGCCGTGCCCGCGTGGGATTGCTGCCCGCAGCCCGGCGTTCAGCGCGCTCCCCGAGCTCACCAGCTGCAGCGAGTGAGCTGCTGTGGCGGTCTCTGGTCTGGCTCAACACGACCGTTTTGCAAAGGTGTAAAGAGAACAGGAGGAGGGGCAGGCGCGCGCTCCCCCGCTTCCATAGCAGCCTTCGCTTGCAAGTACAGTTTTAAGTCTCTGCAAGGAAAAAAAAACAAAAAAACCACCAAAAAAACCCAAAACCAACAAAAAAACCCACCCCCATGGTGTGTCTTCTCATGCTGACAATGACACAAAGGAAGCTGTGAGCAGCAGTGCCCGAGGCGTGGTGCAATCGTCCCCAGCTCTTGCAGGCAGCGCCTGCGCTTTCCAGGGTGCGTGGGTTCGGAGGCGCGCGGCCGCAGGGGAGTCAATGGAAATGGGGGTTGGGTTGGAAATGGGTTGCTTCCACCCAGAACCGTGCCATCCTCCTTCGCCTTGTGTTGGGTATAAATTACACTGCCCCAAAAAATCCTTGTCTTGATGCCATATCTGGACAGCTTAAGGTCCTCAAGCATCCCCTGAGACCTTCCTTGGGTCTGTGCTGTTGCCACAAATGGCTTTTTTTTTG